GAAATGAAATGAAAATCTTCTCTTCTCCTCTGTGTGTGTGTGCAGCTGTGCGTCGGAGATGGAGCGCTGGGTGGAGGACATCAGGATGGCCATCGACCTGGCGGAGCAGAGCAGCAGCCCGACCTCCGACCTCCTGTCCACCTCCCCGACTGACAACAGTGAGTCTGATTATAAACACTGCATTCCACTCAAAGATACACTTCATGTGGTCCATCTGCATGTTTTAGGCATCATACAAGTAGGACATATGGCTAAACAAGAGTGTGAGGTGTTGTTGATTGACTTTTGGTCGGACATCTGGCTTTTTATATCCGACCAAAACCCCCAAAATATACAATTTATTATCTCGTGAAACAGCCCTCGACTTAGATGAATTGCTTTTGCTGTAACTTTAAACTTGGTAAGTTATAACATCTGTATGTTATAGGCATCATACAAGTAGGAAATGTGGCCTTTTAGAAATACATGGAAGGCCTTTGAGTTGATTTGCAACACCCCTCTTAGTGAGCGTACATTGATCTTTTTATGGGAAGTGAATCAGAATCAGAACCGGTTTTATTACCAAGTAGGTTTGCACTTACGAGGAATTTGCTTCGGTGTTAATGATGCATACAAAACACACAATAATAATAAATAAAATATGACAAATACTATACTCAAAGTGTGTGCATGTGTAAAAAGTCCTGAGCAGAAATGTGTAACCTGAACAAAGGATTTACAGGATTAAAAATGATCTGCATTAATTAGTCTTTCTGTGAGTCAGTAGAATTTAGTTTCCTTCATTTCTTTACTGACTCTGAGGCTTATAATAGATAACAAGCACCCCAGGGTTCTCTGAGTCATAAACAGTTATTCCTGCAAATGTTTCCACAGCTGATGTCACGTTAAAATCACCTGGCTTCAATAATCGTCTCTCAGACTGAGCTCTCCTTTGTTGTCCTCTCACAGACGGCCGCCTCGTGAATAATCTCTTTTCTCCAGGTGGTCTTTCATGCTATTTTTTAATGTCACCTGATATAAGCAGACACCAGCTGTCTTCCCTTCTTCCTCTTCTCCTTCTTTCTTTGTCGCCTGTCACGATGTTCAATGAGTCTCCGCCTGCTGACTTTTTACTTTGACGTCTCCATTGTGCCTCAGATAAATCACCTGTGCATTTGAACTCAAACGGTTGAAGAGTATTGGTTTACAGGAAACGACAAAAGAGATTTTCTTTCTTTCTTCAGACGTCAAGACCCACCTTTACGGCCCGTCCACACACAGGCATGAAAGAAATCTTGAAAAATCTTGATGCTGGGCGTGTCTGAAGCTTGGCGATTTCACGCGACCAACAACCAATCACATGAATCTCCCGCCCCCGACATACAAAGCAATAGCAATGTTAAAACGAAGTAAACTGGATATAAAATCCCCAAACAGGCGAAAACCTACCAGTTTCCCCCACTGTCTCTGCCACCTCCCTCCATGCCTGGTTCCTCCGGTTTGTATCCCGGTAAATAGTTCTGGTCGTAAAGAACCGGGTGATTTGCTACCGTAATTTCTCGTTTGGAATATGAGGAAATGAACTGCGGTCTGGCTCTCCCAGCTTGCACGCGGTTTGATTGGCTAGCGCTTGTACCGGCGGGATTTGCATAAACGGGATTTGATTGGCTGACGCCAGCTTCGAAAGCATCGGGAGCATCAAAAGTTGAACATTGCTCAACTTTTGATGCACACACACAACTCAATCTGGGCACACACACAAACTCCCAGCCAGGCTGTGTGTATGTGTGTTTCGGGCTGGGTTTCGCTGTGTCTCGCTGTCTCGCAGACGGCCACTGGGCTCGAGGGGGGGGGGCAGGAGCTCCAACAAGCCGTGTAGGACACAGAGTGAATACACAGACTATACAGAGATGCTGTGAGAAACCAATGTGAGTTTGGAACATTGAACAGTGTAAATCTATTCTAGTAGACCTCAACAATGGAACTATGATCAGTAGAAATGGCCATGACATGTGACCTTTAAGTAAGACAACCTCACCTATATAAACTGATAGTTATTTTTTACATTTTGACATATTATATGGACATTTTGGACCCAAAACCGCACAAAAAACGTAGAAACACATTTTGAAAATGATATTATTTGTTACTCTGGTGTTGTTTTAATTTCTTCTAAATTGTGTCTGTGTGACCCTACTTCTTCCTACTCTTAGGCTGTTATACCTGCAGAGCAATTCTCTTTTAATTACCTAATTAATATGCACTTTTTAATGCAATTTATAGCTTTATACGCCATTTCTTAACTATTTATTCCCCCTGTATGATTGTTTATTGCTGCTGTGTTTTTATCGTATGTCTGTTTTCATTTCCTGCACACTGACAGTTTCACTCCAAAACCTCGTTGTTTATTTCTGTACGATGACAATAAAGGATTTCTATTCTTCTCTATACTATCACTGCGTCTTTCTTTCCCGTATTTCCTTCCACTAACGGCACATTTAAACGTCCCCAGAGCTGTCGGAGGACGGAGGCTTGGAGGTGGAGTCGGAGGACGAGCTTTGTGGCTCTCGCTCGTCTCTTGAGCGTCAGGGACATCGTGGAAACACAACGGTTCACGTGTGCTGGCATCGAAACACCAGCGTCTCCATGGTGGACTTCAGTGTTGCTGTGGAGGTAATGGACGTCTCTTTAATCCACACCTGTTTCTAATGTGTGTTTACCTCTGTGTGTCCTTCTCCAAAGGCAAAGAGACTGTGATGCAATGTCCTTTGTCTCCTCCATCTTCTACTCTCACGGATTAATATCGTTTTTTGACCTTTGAACATATGTGTTTTAAGTAAAGAGTCAACCAAACTTACCTGAGACGTATTTTAGTTGGAGTCAAGCTTATTGCTGCTTGTGGATATATACATTTTTGGATTAGACCGAACTACAATCTCGTTTCCTTTGTCCATCTACGATCTTTTTGTTGACTCTTCTTCTCTCCTGTGTTTCAGAACCAGCTGTCTGGAAACCTTCTGAGGAAGTTTAAGAACAGTAACGGCTGGCAGAAACTCTGGGTCGTCTTCACCAACTTCAGCCTGTTCTTCTACAAGTCACACCAGGTGAGATACAGACGGGTCGAAAACCACCAGACTCAGGGACCGTTTCATCCTATAACACCTGAACTTTTGAAACAACATCCATAACATTCATCTGTTTGCATCTTGCAAATATGGGATATGTACAAGAACAGAATATGAAATTAAATAATGTAAATGAAGACAGAATATCTACACTGTAGCTAATGTGCAAATAACAATCAAGCCTTGAGTTGATTACACCGTGATCAAGTGGTGTTGCTATTGCTCTGATAAGGGAAAAATGGTCGATGTTTAAAGATGATTTCCTCTGTTTTTTGCTCACAGGACGAATATCCTTTGGCCAGCCTTCCTCTGCTCGGATACTCCGTCACCGTACCCGCCGAGTCGGAGAACATCCACAAAGACTACGTGTTCAAACTCCACTTTAAATCCCACGTCTACTACTTCAGATCGGAGAGCGAGTACACCTTCGAAAGGTACAGTATTATTAAAGATAGATGGATACAAAATATTCATAAAAACACAAGCTTCTATACAGACCCTGTAAAGCTCAAGATACTATCTGGGAGCTTTTATTTTGAAAACTCAGCTTCTATAGAGACCCTGGAAAGCTCAAGATACCATCTAAGAGCTTTTATTTTGAAAACCTATCTTCTATAGAGACCCTGAAAATTCCAAGATACCACCTGGGAAATTTTATTTTGAAAACCCAGCTTCTATACAGACCCTGTAAAGCCCAAGTTACCATCTGGGAGCTTTTATTTTGAAAACCCAGCTTCTATAGAGACCCTGAAAAGCTCAAGATACCACCTGGGAGCTTTTATTTTGAAAACCCAGCTTCTATACAGACCCTGTAAAGCTCAAGATACCATCTGGGAGCTTTTATTTTGAAAAGCCAGCTTCTATACAGACCCTGTAAAGCCCAAGTTAGCATCTGGGAGCTTTTATTTTGAAAACCCAGCTTCTATAAAGACCCTGTAAAGCTCAAGATACCATCTGGGAGCTTTTATTTTGAAAACCCAGCTTCTATAGACCCTCTTAAAGTAAAACATGTGCATATTGTACAACAATATACTTAGCCTAGTTAATTAAATCTATGCAATGGACATATGTTGTTATGTATGCCCTGTGAATCATTTCTTAAAATGCAAATATTTGTTGGCAAACATAAATGAATGAATGTCAGTAATAACGCATCCCAATGTGTTCCAGGTGGATGGAGGTGATCCGCAGCGCCACCTGCTCCGCCAGCCGCCCCCTGCTGAGCTCCAGGAAGGATTACTGATGAAAAGACTCTTATTATAAACACAGAATCACTGTTAACACCTCTTAATAGTTGATTCACACACACATCACAACCACGTATCTATGTAGAGATCCACGATGTAATTAATCATGTCCTTTTTTCACTTGCTCCAAACTGGCAACACCATCTGGCAACATTTTCCTTTACCTTTTTGTGCCGTCGAGTGTTGTTCACATGCACACACACATTTAATATTCATGTCATGTTTACAGCAGAGTGGGTTTTATGTTTGGGAGGAAATACGTGGGGTTTCCTCGACGTATTTGGGACACTGAAGCATGACTTGGGATGAAAACATGTATATAAGAGTCTTAAATAAGACCTAAACGCAGGTGTGCATGTGAACACACCCACAGTGTTTTCTATATATAATTGGATTTATGAAATGTGATGCCAGTTTGGTCACGATTATAAAACATCCGTCTATTTCTTTTTCTAAGGCGACTTTTTGTACAGTACTTTGATACACTGTGAAATGTTCTTTTTAATCATGTTTTCCTGCTTTGTTTAAAAGGACAAATGAGTACGACAAATGCTTCCAACGCCATCAGAGATTTCCCTGGTCTGTGTGCCAAATATCTGATGTACTTCCTAAGTGTCTGGATTTTCATATTCTAAATAAAGATACGAAGAGATGTGTTATGAGAAAACGGGACGAGTCAGAAATCGATGTCTTGTGTTTATTACGACAACCAAACCAACATTTCCAGAGGAACAAATCAGTAAAAATGATTAGTGTTTGCAGGAAAACTGTTAATACAAATACAGCAGAATGTAATGGCAGGTGCAATAATGGAGGTAAGACACACACCTGTCACTTAAATGCCATACATATTAAATGCTGGTTAAACTGGAGTGTAAAACATACAGAAAAATAGTGATTAATACGCATTTTACACCAATACAGCTCTAAAAGGAGTAAAATCTGGACACAGTATTGATTCTTAGTGTATTAGAAATGGGTGATGTCAGTAAACGTGCATTTGTTGAGGGTATGTCAATGTAGAGTGTGGGTGCGTTTCACTTCGGTTAAATGGATTCCTTGCGTCGTTTCCCTGCGACTAGTCCTCCCACCAAGGAAGCATGGAGAGACGCAAGGGCCCCGTCTCAGGTCGACTATTTTCATTTCCTCGCTCCTCGGTCTCACAATGACAATTATGAAAATGAAAAAAGCGATCATGAAAATGTTTCCAATAAATGAATAAAATGATTTTTAACCGCTTTCTTATTCAGATATATCACATATTTGTAACTAAATGAAACATTAATTGAAACAAAACACGGTATAAACTGAGGAGTGAGTCCCGTGAGTTTCATGTATTTTCTTCACTCCGCTGGGAAACTGCTCTCATGTCAAGAAGCATCAGATCAGTGCATGCGCTGCATCGTCCAATCAGTGAGCGATACACAGTAAGGGGGCGGGGCGAGTGTCTGAGGATTTCATCGGAGGATGGTTTTGCGGTTCCTTGATTATCGCTCCTCCGGCAGAAATAAGAGCCATGGGACGCTACCATGGACGCTACTCAAGATGGCGCAGACAAATCAACTTCCGGTGAGACCGAGGAGCGAGGAAATGAAAAATAACAGAAGTGAAACGCACCCTGTGTTTACTTTAAAAAATCCCCAAATGTCGTTGTGTTTCTGCACTACAGTACATGTTGATCAACTAAAAAGCCAGTTGTTTTTGCAGATAGAGATACCGTAGAAACTTGACCACGTTTTAAACTGATATTCGGTTAAAAAGTAGTGAAACGAATCAAGTTAGAAACCGATGTAGGAGTTCACAGAACAGTAAGTGATTTTTATTAGAGGAAAACAGTGGATTTGTTTAACTATCGACTCCAGATCTGCTCTGATTATCCCACGGAAATCAGTCTCGTGCTTCTTTAATATGATACTCCAGCCCATGATCTCCATTTGAGTCGTAGCTCTCGTAGCAACGCAGCGAAAGCCAGTCCGCCTCGTATGAAGTCGTGCTGTAAATAAACGCTTCTATGATACTTCCTGATGCCATCTTCTCCTTCTCCTCTTCTCCGACCCACTCCTCCACCTCCAGTTTAACCTCAGTGCGTTGATACAAGGTGGGGACGCTCTCAAATTCGTCCAGGAACTTCAGCATCTTCTCGTCCACTTTGTAGATCTCGCCCTTGACCCGGTGACCTTGACCCGGGACGTTGAGGAGGAAAGGGATGTTGTGCTTGCTGGCGATAACCAGCGGGTGTTTTTGGGCGGTGCATGCAGACGCCAGGAGCTTCACCTTCCCGTTGGCAGCATCTAACATGCGGTAATAGTTCGGCTGGCCCCTCTTCAGGGTGCCGTAGACGAAGACACGAGCCATGGGGTTTCACCTGGTTAAATAAAGAATGTTGTTAGAAAAATATATATTAAGGATCCATGTGTTTGTGATCCTCTCCAGAATGGAAGTAGTCCTCACATACAGAGCATCAACTAGTTCCTGAACAGTGTCCTTCACATGCTGATATCCAAGAGAGGGAGTTACACAGTCACAAGATGGAGGAGTAGAAAGCAGTATTCAATGTTTACTTCAGATTAGCTCCACGTCAGAAATGAGCATGCTTGATGTCTCTCTCCATAGAGGCTGAATCATCATGTTAATCACATAGCTATCATCTGCCTCAAACAGTCCTGATGCTCTTCTAGGTAATCACACATCCTGTCATGTTCACAGCTGCAGTTGGGATACCTTTGTTATCATGTTACTCTGAGTGTATGTTATTTGAAATATGGTAAAACAGACTGCTTTACATGTTTGTGTATCCAATGATTGCTGCTGCCTTTTGAAAGACATTTTCTAATCTTAATGCAACTTGTCTGGTTAAATAATGATATAAAATCACGTGTCAGCAATGCATCAAGAGACACTAAAGGAGAGTGACAGAGAATACATGTCAAAAAACAGCTCACGTGAGGATTTGCAGCATAAAATACTGGAATATTCAATGAGCTCAGGGACCGAAAACATAAATAATAGCAGTAACAAATAAAGAGAAATGTCATAATTCATGTTGGTTAAGATGCAGAAGTGTCTCTGGCTTTATTGAAGCTCTATGGACTTTGTTACCGCGGCTCAATAATCAGTTCACTGTCAGAGATTATCTGTAAAACACACAGTAGTTTTAAGATCAGTGAAGATGTGAAAGGTCATTCGACAGCACAGTGTGTGGAGAAAGAATGACTGATCTTACAAATAGAAAAGTGTGAAAAGTGGTAGTAATATTTGTTAAAAGTACCTCAACTAATAATGCGACAATTCAGAATATTATAATATAACTCGATAATAGTTATTAAGGCATTCAAGCCTCAATAATGTCACGTTGCATCTGGTAAAGACAGGGTTGCCAACTTTGGGTACCTGGCTGGAGTGAGATTTTGAGATCATGGATTTAATTACACATATGCGCACTAAATGACTGCTATCGTGTCAGCAGCGGTACATTAGCATATATATAGGATATATATATATAATATATACAAATACAACGGTGCCGACAATATTATCATTTATCGCAATAATTTCCGGGAAAATGTATCCAACCAAATTAATTATCGTGAGAGGCCTATACATGAAACACACACACACACAAATCTACAGACTCACTCCAAACTGCCAAATATATTAATTAACACACTCTCACTCACTCTTTGATTCTATTTTGGCCTATAGTAGAACAATAAGCAGCAGACTTTTATATCATTTCTACTGGATCTTAGATCTGCGCATGCGCAACACACCTGATTGACCAACCGGCTCCCACTGCTCTGCTGTCTGTTAACGTTGTTTAGAGTGGTGGGGGCGGGGAGGGAGCGGATCGACAGCTTGAGCAGCTGTCAACTCAACATTGTAAATAACCAACCAAAAACGATCGCCGTTCATCTTGTTTTTGGCGGGAGAATAGTTTGGGCAGCGTGAGAGCGTGAGAGTGAAAGCGTGTGTCACACGCCAGATGCGTGAGAGTTGGCAACCTACATTTAAAACATACACCTCTCGGATTATTATTGATAGTAACCTATTTAACATAATGCATGCATTGGTGACATCACATGCATGAATGCAAACGAAAGTAAAACACATGGCTTTTTTAATCTTGCAATAAGTAGTAAATGCAGGGTTGCCAACTCTCACGCATCTGGCGTGTGACACACGCTTTCACTCTCAATCTCACGCTCTCACGCTGCCCAAACTATTGTCCCGCCCAAAACAAGATGAACCGGCGATCGTTTTTGGTTGGTTATTTACAATGTTGAGTTGACAGCTGCTCAAGCTGTCGACCCGCTCCCTCCCCGCCCCCACCACTCTTAACAACGTTAACAGACAGCAGAGCAGTGGGAGCCGGTTGGTCAATCCCCAACCCGTATTGCGCATGCGCAGATCTGAGATCCAGTAGAAATGATAAAAAGTAAAAGTCTGCTGGTTATTGTTCTACTAGGCCAAAAATAGAGTCCAAGAGTATATGAGAGTGAGAGTGTGTTAATTAATATATTTGGCAGTAAGGAGTAAGTCTGTAGATTTGTGTGTGTGTGTGTGTGTGTGTGTGTGTGTGTGTGTCACGTATAGGCCTCTCATGATAATTAATTTTGTTGGATACATTTTCCCGGAAATTATTGCGATAAACGATAATATTGTTGGCACCGTTGTATGACCATTTTAGACCACTGACATAATGATAATATATAATAATAATTCAAGTACATCCTTTCAAACTGCTAGTCACATCCTCATGTAAATGGCAATTTATCGAGGTCAGAAAAGTTATCGAGTTCATTTTTATTTATCGTACGATAAGTCAATTAATTGCTTATCGCGACAGGCACACAATAAAACAGTGGAAACAAACATATGTTTGACTTTCATTAGTGAATGAAACGTTGTGCCCTTTATAGTCTGTGTCCAATATTGTGCATTTGTATATATTGTATAGATATCATATATATATATGCTAAGGTCCCGCTACTGACACGATAGCAGTCATTTAGTGCGCATATGTGTAATTAAACCCATGATCTCAAAATCTCACTCCAGCCAGGTATCCAAAGTTGGCAACCCTGGTAAATGTGCATCCTATTCAATGGACGATGACCGTGGAAACAGCACGTTTGAAGCACATAAGGGTTATGCAACTCAAAGCAGCTAAACGCGTTATAATATATCCTGTAGAATTACACGAATGCAGTGTTATCTTACCAGGAATGTGATGCAGATATTGACACGTAGATTTATTTGAAGTAGGTTTGAGAAAGTAGCCTACTTCCTGCAACCTGCTGGTATCCGTCTAAAGAGCGCATGCGCAGTGAACAAGTTGTACTCCTTTAAACCAGCAGAGGGCGCGAAAACGACGAGGAAAAACATTATTTGTCATTATTATTTGTATTATATATCGTTTTTATTATATATATGTACTATTATAATTATTATTAATGTTTTCTTTTTTATGATTCATATAAATATCCATGAGATGGCACTAAAGAAAAGTAATTAGGAGTGAATAATATGCTATTATGGAAAAAACATAGTATTTATAACTCCAAATAATGACCTAAATATGTGATTTAAATACACTATAAAACATGGCTCTTATATTTACAGAGGGCCGTAAACTGAAGGGGAAAAACAAACAAACAATCTTCAATAACTAATCAACTAGAATACAATGGAGATGTGCACCGCTGGTCCCATTAAAACCCACTTAACACAACAGAAATATTACAAAGCCATGCAACGACAATAGCAGAGGACAGCACTTAATGATAAATATACTTAAACTTAATTCACGAGTTCAGCACATCTTTACTACTTAAATAGGAGCCAAAAGGACAACGGCATCATAACTGTCCATTCAGCCAATTAACAGCTGGATCCCAGTTTACAAATAAAGGAAATGACTGTGGCGTTATCTCAGTATCTCATCATACCTGAGTTGAAACAGCTTTTAGGCCTTGTTGATCCGAACTGGGAATTTTTTGCAAAATAACACTCCCTCCTCAAATTGAAGTGACTTCACAAGATGATATGTAGCCCACTGTTACAAAAAAAAGCTCAGAACATATAAAATAATGAATCAAATGTTAAATGTCTTGTTGATGATAAGAGAGTTATAACAGAAAGAGACAGAAAATACCTGCATCAGATGAATGGATCAACTGGATTTGGTGGTAGTAAAAAAAACATTTTAAACTGCAGGTTCTTTAAATGTCCACAAGATGGCGTTCTTTCAACCGCATCTCTTTGGTGGCCGCTGATTGGTTGATCAGATGACGTCAGCACGCCTGCAGCCTAGCAGCAGAAAAGACGACGTAAACAAAGCAGTCAGCTAAGTACCGTTAGCTCTTGTTTCGTGAGTAAAATACGTATTATATCTGATTTAGATTATAAATCAAATACTGGTTTATATTATCAGTGAGCACAGCTACTAATCTGCGTGGTAACAGACTCACTCGTGTGTTGAGATTGAAATCAAACGAGTTAACAAGAAACCGTTAGCTACTTTAGCTTTAGCTAGACACGGATTTATGTATCTATGCAATGGATTTGATTTTGAATAACGTTCATCGATCAGCTGGATAAACACAGAGGTTTGGATTTGATCATATGGACTGAGATGTTTAGTCTGATGGCGAACTGCTGCAACTGGCTCAAACGCTGGCGAGAGCCTGCAAGGTAAATCAAGTTTTATTATTAGTTTTTATTAGTATGTACTGCTGCTGTGTACTTCTACACCACTAGTTCAGAGGTAAATGGTGTACTTTTACTCCTCTAAATGTATTTAATAGCTTTACTTACTTTACAGATTTTGATTAATTATGTTAGACATATATACCAGCTTTGATAACACTTAGATGCATCAGTAATTATAAAACACATCATATATATTATTCTGAAATGGACCAATCTGCACAACGACTACTTTCACTGTCGCTACTTTCACTATATGTTGATGAGAATACTTTTCTACTTTCACTTGAGGAACATTTTGAATGCAGGACTTTTACTGTAACAGAGTATTCCTACACTCTGGTACTTCTACTTTTACTCAAGTACTAGATCTGAGTACTTCTACTTTTACTCAAGTACAAGATCTGAGTACTTCTACTTTTACTCAAGCACAAGATCTGAGTACTTCTACTTTTACTCAAGTACTAGATCTGAGTACTTCTACTTTTACTCAAGTACAAGATCTGAGTACTTCTACTTTTACTGTTTTTAATTGTATTTATGTATTTGACAGGGACAGTGCACATTGATTAACATTTCTGTAAATGCGCCAGAGTTAGCCAACAGGCTATTTACCCTCTGCAGTCCCTGGACAGATGTTGAAAGTCATGCTAAAAAAAAAACATCACTTCAAATGACAGGTAAATACAATCAGCAAAACAACATTCAACATAGATGCTTATATTATGATAAAAAACATATATAAAAACAAAACAAAAATAGATATTCACAAAGATTTGAATAAAGTGCAGGTGTTTTGTTCTCTCGTCGTTACTGGGACTGAGTTCCACTGCAGCTTTAAAAGAAACAGAAGATTGTCTGAATGAACTCTTCCTTAATGGAACAACGCAGTCTCCTCTGGTTGCCCTAGTTACCGCCTACAGGTGTGCGTATGGTGATGTCTGTAACTGAGTATTCCTACACTCTGGTACTTCTACTTTTACTCAAGTACAAGACCTGAGTACTTCTACTTTTACTCAAGTTCAAGATCTGAGTACTTCTACTTTTACTCAAGTACAAGATCTGAGTACTTCTACTTCTACTAGAAGATCTGAGTACTTCTACTTTTACTCAAGTACAAGATCTGAGTACTTCTACTTTTACTCAAGTACAAGACCTGAGTACTTCTACTTTTACTCAAGTTCAAGATCTGAGTACTTCTACTTTTACTCAAGTACAATATCTGAGTATTTCTACTTTTACTCAAGTACAAGATCTGAGTACTTCTACTTTTACTCAAGTACAAGATCTGAGTACTTCTACTTTTACTTAAGTACAAGATCTGAGTACTTCTACTTTTACTCAAGTACAAGATATGAGTACTTTTACTCAAGTACAAGCTCTGAGTACTTTGACTTTTACTCAAGTACAAGATCTGAGTACTTTTACTCAAGTACAAGCTCTGAGTACTTTGACTTTTACTCAAGTACAAGATCTGAGTACTTCTACTTTTACTCAAGTACAAGATCTGAGTACTTCTACTTTTACTCAAGTTCAAGATCTGAGTACTTTGACTTTTACTGAAGTACAAGATCTGAGTACTTTTACTTTTACTCAAGTACAAGACCTGAGTACTTCTACTTCTACTACAAGACCTGAGTACTTCTACTTCTACTCAACTACAAGATCTGAGTACTTTTACTCAAGTACAAGATCTGAGTACTTCTACTTTTACTCAAGTACAAGATCTGAGTACTTTTACTTCTACTACAAGACCTGAGTACTTCTACTTTTACTCAAGTACAAGATCTGAGTACTTCTACTTTTACTCAAGTACAAGACCTGAGTACTTCTACTTTTACTCAAGTACAACATCTGAGTACTTCTACTTTTACTCAAGTACAAGATCTGAGTACTTCTACTTCTACTAGAAGATCTGAGTACTTCTACTTTTACTCAAGTACAAGATCTGAGTACTTCTACTTTTACTCAAGTACAAGATCTGAGTACTTCTACTTTTACTCAAGTACAAGATCTGAGTACTTCTACTTCTACTAGAAGATCTGAGTACTTCTACTTTTACTCAAGTACAAGATCTGAGTACTTCTACTTTTACTCAAGTACAAGACCTGAGTACTTCTACTTTTACTCAAGTTCAAGATCTGAGTACTTCTACTTTTACTCAAGTACAATATCTGAGTATTTCTACTTTTACTCAAGTACAAGATCTGAGTACTTCTACTTTTACTCAAGTACAAGATCTGAGTACTTCTACTTTTACTTAAGTACAAGATCTGAGTACTTCTACTTTTACTCAAGTACAAGATATGAGTACTTTTACTCAAGTACAAGCTCTGAGTACTTTGACTTTTACTCAAGTACAAGCTCTGAGTACTTTGACTTTTACTCAAGTACAAGATCTGAGTACTTCTACTTTTACTCAAGTACAAGATCTGAGTACTTCTACTTTTACTCAAGTTCAAGATCTGAGTACTTTGACTTTTACTGAAGTACAAGATCTGAGTACTTTTACTTTTACTCAAGTACAAGACCTGAGTACTTCTACTTCTACTACAAGACCTGAGTACTTCTACTTCTACTCAACTACAAGATCTGAGTACTTTTACTCAAGTACAAGATCTGAGTACTTCTACTTTTACTCAAGTACAAGATCTGAGTACTTTTACTTCTACTACAAGACCTGAGTACTTCTACTTTTACTCAAGTACAAGATCTGAGTACTTCTACTTTTACTCAAGTAAAAGACCTGAGTACTTCTACTTTTACTCAAGTACAACATCTGAGTACTTCTACTTTTACTCAAGTACAAGATCTGAGTACTTCTACTTCTACTAGAAGATCTGAGTACTTCTACTTTTACTCAAGTACAAGATCTGAGTACTTCTACTTTTACTCAAGTACAAGATCTGAGTACTTCTACTTCTACTAGAAGATCTGAGTACTTCTACTTTTACTCAAGTACAAGATCTGAGTACTTCTACTTTTACTCAAGTACCAGCTCTGAGTACTTCTACTTTTACTCAAGTACAAGATCTGAGTACTTCTACTTTTACTCAAGTACCAGCTCTGAGTACTTCTACTTTTACTCAAGTACAAGATCTGAGTACTTCTACTTTGACTCAAGTACCAGCTCTGAGTACTTCTTCCACCTCTGATGACTGATGTGGTTTATTAGGTTAAAGCAAGTTAATAGAATCCACTGACGATCAGACAGATCTCAGATCAGTGGATTCTGACCAAGGTACAAAGTGGGATATCATTCATCTCAGTCACGCATGTATTGCAGCTCTCTCAGTCACGCATGTATTGCAGCTCTCTCAGTCACGCATGTATTGCAGCTCTCTCAGTCACGCATGTATTGTAGCTCTCTCAGTCACGCATGTATTGCAGCTCTCTCAGTCACGCATGTATTGTAGCTCTCTTAGTCACGCATGTATTGCAGCTCTCTCAGTCACGCATGTATTGCAGCTCTCTTAGTCACGCATGTATTGCAGCTCTCTCAGTCACGCATGTATTGTAGCTCTCTCAGTCACGCATGTATTGTAGCTCTCTCAGTCACGCATGTATTGCAGCTCTCTCAGTCACGCATGTATTGCAGCTCTCTTAGTCACGCATGTATTGCAGCTCTCTCAGTCACGCATGTATTGCAGCTCTCTCAGTCACGCATGTATTGCAGCTCTCTCAGTCACGCATGTATTGTAGCTCTCTCAGTCACGCATGTATTGTAGCTCTCTCAGTCACGCATGTATTGCAGCTCTCTCAGTCACGCATGTATTGCAGCTCTCTCAGTCACGCATGTATTGCAGCTCTCTCGTTCCATCAGACAATACAATCCCAAGGAAGCACTTTGACTATTCTCGAGGGAACAAGGTGCACACGCTTTGCAACACTTTGCAAACACAGAAATGTGCTGACACGTTTCTTGGTGTAAAGGAAGTCGTGTTGAAAGGCGTTTCTAAAAACTGTTCACTTGGTTATTCTTTGACATTTCCATGAAGCAGCAAACAGAATATTAATCAAGGTCATATTTGGTGGCGAAATCAATCTTGAGCTTAATAAACTTCGATTATAGACGACCGTGCTTCCCCTCTGCTCTGCACCCTTATGATGCCTCGGGCTCACAATCCTTACATAAGTGTTTTTACCCGACACCAGACATTAGGTGTGAAGAAGCTAAATGTAATTCAGAGCGTTTATCCACGTGGTTCCTGTGAGGCACCTGATCCTCTGGACTTAGTCAGTAAATCCTCCCCTAATCCGGCAGCAGGTCTGTGCCGCCGCGGGTCTCTTCTTCTGACCGGTTGTTGTGAAGGGTTTGTAGCATGGAGGACAAAGGGCAGACACTTTGCCTCGCCTCGTGTCACCTCATGGAGGCTTGCAGCCAGGGGGCGCCCCGATGAAACCCGCCTGGCTCCAGAGGACAGTTAGATGGATAGTGCGGTTCATGTCTTTTCGGCGCAGGTCGCGAAGTTAAGTATTTACTCAGGAGACAAGACAGTTTTTGTCCGTTTAAAAAGTGTCTCCAGTTCGCCTTTGTTCTTTTGAGAGCAAATATGTGTTTTATTTCTGACACGTTAGTTGGGTTTGAATGAAATCAGATGATGTCCTTGTTTATGCAAACATATAGTAAACAGTGATGGAAATCTTACATACTTTTCATTAAAGTTACACATGCACACAACAAATGCTTTGACGTTAAGAAACGTTGAGATCCTCAACACCTTCTTCCCAAGTGAGTGCATGAAGGTCTGCTGGGTGACTTCCTTTGGTGCCTTTTTTAGGAGGTCTTCGATCATGCATAATGACCAACGCTGATATCTGTGTTCACGTGTGTTCCTTTCCTCCCAACAGGAAAGTGACTCTGGTGATGGTGGGTCTGGATAATGCCGGGAAGACGGCCACAGTACGAGGAATCCAAGGAGGTTAGTACTGTTTGTTAATAACGTGAATTAAGTGTATGTACTGGCTCCCCGTCCGTCAAAGAATCGACTTCAAAGTCCTCCTCATTACTCAACAATCAGGCCCCCCCCCTACCTCACAGACCTGCTGCACCACCACACCCCTTCCCCCCACCTCACAGACCTGCTGCACCACCACACCCCTTCCCCCCACCTCACAGACCTGCTGCACCACCACACCCCTTCCCCCTACCTCACAGACCTGCTGCACCACCACACCCCTTCCCCCTACCTCACAGACCTGCTGCACCACCACACCCCTTCCCTCTACCTCACAGACCTGCTGCACCACCACACCCCTTCCCCCTACCTCACAGACCTGCTACACCACCACACCCCTTCCCCCTACCTCACAGACCTGCTGCACCACCACACCCCCCCCCTACCTCACAGACCTGCTGCACCACCACACCCCTTCCCCCTACCTCACAGACCTGCTGCACCACCACACCCCTTCCCCCCACCTCACAGACCTGCTGCACCACCACACCCCCCCCCCCCTACCTCACAGACCTGCTGCACCCCCTACCTCACAGACCTGCTGCACCACCACACCCCTTCCCCCCTACCTCACAGACCTGCTGCACCACCACACCCCTTTCCCCTACCTCACAGACCTGCTGCACCACCACACCCCTTCCCCCCACCTCACAGACCTGCTGCACCACCACACCCCTTCCCCCCTACCTCACAGACCTGCTGCCCCACCACACCCCCCCCCCCTACCTCACAGACCTGCTGCACCACCACACCCCTTCCCCCTGCCTCACAGACCTGCTGCACCACCACACCCCTTCCCCCTACCTCACAGACCTGCTGCACCACCACGCCCCTTCCCCCCACCTCACAGACCTGCTGCACCACCACACCCCTCCCCCTGCCTCACAGACCTGCTGCACCACCACACCCCTTCCCCCTACCTCACAGACCTGCTGCACCACCACACCCCCCCCCCCCTACCTCACAGACCTGCTGCACCACCACGCCCCTTCCCCCCACCTCACAGACCTGCTGCACCACCACACCCCTCCCCCTGCCTCACAGACCTGCTGCACCACCACACCCCTTCCCCCTACCTCACAGACCTGCTGCACCACCACACCCCCCCCCCCCCCTACCTCACAGACCTGCTGCACCACCACACCCCTCCCCCTGCCTCACAGACCTGCTGCACCACCACACCCCTTCCCCCTACCTCACAGACCTGCTGCACCACCACACCCCTTCCCCCTGCCTCACAGACCTGCTGCACCACCACACCCCCCCCCCCCCCCCCTACCTCACAGACCTGCTGCACCACCACACCCCCCCCCCCCCCCCCTACCTCACAGACCTGCTGCACCACCACACCCCCCCCCCCCCTACCTCACAGACCTGCTGCACCACCACCCCCCCCCCCCCTACCTCACAGACCTGCTGCACCACCACACCCCTTCCCCCTACCTCACAGACCTGCTGCACCACCACACCCCTTCCCCCTACCTCACAGACCTGCTGCACCACCACGCCCCTTCCCTCTACCTCACAGACCTGCTGCACCACCACACCCCTTCCCCCTACCTCACAGACCTGCTGCACCACCACACCCCTTCCCCCTACCTCACAGACCTGCTGCACCACCACACCCCCCCCCCCTACCTCACAGACCTGCTGCACCACCACACCCCCCCCCCCCCTACCTCACAGACCTGCTGCACCACCACACCCCTTCCCCCTACCTCACAGACCTGCTGCACCACCACACCCCTTCCCCCTACCTCACAGACCTGCTGCACCACCACACCCCTTCCCCCTACCTCACAGACCTGCTGCACCACCACACCCCTTCCCCCTACCTCACAGACCTGCTGCACCACCACACCCCTTCCCCCTACCTCACACCCCTGCTGCACCACCACACCCCTTCCCCCTACCTCACAGACCTGCTGCACCACCACGCCCCTTCCCTCTACCTCACAGACCTGCTGCACCACCACACCCCTCCCCGCTGCCTCCGCTCATCAGAAGCCAACCTCCTATCCATCCACCCGCATCAATCACCGGACCTGGGGGGACAGAGCCTTCTCCGTCGCTGCCCCCTCCCTCTGGAACTCACTCCCCCATCAGAGACTGCACTGACCTCACCACCTTCAACACACTCACAAAAACTCACCTCTTCAATCTGGCTTTTAATTGTTTTTGTATTATTTGACTTTAACTTTAACTATATATTTATTTGTTGTTCCTTCCTTTTCTTTTCTCTTCACTATATCTGTAAAGCGTCTTAGAGCACCTGTAAAAGCGCTAACAAATGAAATCTATTATTATTATTATTATAAAGTGTGTTTTTATCAGCACATCCTTCCTGTGCCTCGTCTCTGCTAACACGACCTCTCGTTGCTGCTTCGCGCAGAGAATCCCCAGGATGTGGCTCCCACGGTGGGGTTTTCCAAGGTCGACCTGAAGCAGGGCAAGTTCGAGGTGACCATCTTCGATCTGGGCGGCGGGAAGAGGATCCGGGGCATCTGGAAGAACTACTACTCCGAGTCTCACGGCGTGGTGTTTGTGGTCGACTCCAGCGACGTGCAGAGGATCCAGGAGTTACGGGAGACGATGGCCGAGGTCCTCCAGCACCCTCGCATCGCTGGGAAACCTGTGCTGGTGTGAGTGCTATCGTGCAAGGACATTATACTTAAAGGTCACCTATTATGCAAAATCCACTTGTTCCTGTCTCTTCTACATCAACATGTGTCCCCTCTTCTTCATGTCTCTTCTACATCAACATGTGTCCCCTCTTCTTCATGTCTCTTCTACATCAACATGTGTCCCCTCTTCTTCATGTCTCTTCTACATCAACATGTGTCCCCTCTTCTTCATGTCTCTTCTACATCAACATGTGTCCCCTCTTCTTCATGTCTCTTCTACATCAACATGTGTCCCTTCTTCTTCATGTCTCTTCTACATCAACATGTGTCCCCTCTTCTTCATGTCTCTTCTGCATCAACATGTGTCCCCTCTTCTTCATCAACATGTGTCCCCTCTTCTTCATGTCTCTTCTACATCAACATGTGTCCCCTCTTCTTCATGTCTCTTCTACATCAACATGTGTCCCCTCTTCTTCATGTCTCTTCTACATCAACATGTGTCCCCCTCTTCTTCATGTCTCTTCTGCATCAACATGTGTCCCCTCTTCTTCATCAACATGTGTCCCCTCTTCTTCATGTCTCTTCTACATCAACATGTGTCCCCTCTTCTTCATGTCTCTTCTACATCAACACGTGTCCCCTCTTCTTCATGTCTCTTCTACATCAACATGTGTCCCCTCTTCTCCATGTCTCTTCTACATCAACACGTGTCCCCTCTTCTTCATGTCTCTTCTGCATCAACATGTGTCCCCTCTTCTTCATCAACATGTGTCCCCTCTTCTTCATGTCTCTTCTACATCAACATGTGTCCCCTCTTCTTCATGTCTCTTCTACATCAACATGTGTCCCCTCTTCTTCATGTCTCTTCTACATCAACACGTGTCCCCTCTTCTTCATGTCTCTTCTACATCAACATGTGTCCCCTCTTCTTCATGTCTCTTCTACATCAACATGTGTCCCCTCTTCTTCATGTCTCTTCTACATCAACATGTGTCCCCCTCTTCTTCATGTCTCTTCTACATCAACATGTGTCCCCTCTTCTTCATGTCTCTTCTACATCAACATGTGTCCCCTCTTCCTCATGTCTCTTCTACATCAACATGTGTCCCCTCTTCTTCATGTCTCTTCTACATCAACATGTGTCCCCTCTTCTCCATGTCTCTTCTTCATGTCTCTTCTACATCAACATGTGTCCCCTCTTCTTCATGTCTCTTCTACATCAACATGTGTCCCCTCTTCTTCATGTCTCTTCTACATCAACATGTGTCCCCTCTGTGGAAAGAGACTCTGAAAGTTTCAGGAACAAAGATTCTCTCTCTTTTTTATCCATTTCTATAAAAACCTGTCTGAAAATGAGCTGATCAGATTTTGGCCACGTTATGATGTCATAACGATGTTTTCTCTTGTGTAACCATTAGCCAATCAGCACCAAGGTACCCCCCCCCCCCTTATCACCTGAATCTCCTCCTAGAGCACCATTGAGTTCTTTGTAACCAAATCTCTCTCAGAGGGGCGTGGGGAGGGGCTCCTTATTTTCATCTAAAGTAACGGCCCCTACACACGGCGGCGTGCGTTACCGCTTGGCGGTGGGCGTGTCTGAAGCTTGGGGATTTTTTACGAACAACGTGACCAACATGAATGTCCCGCCCCGGACATACAAAGCAAAGCATTCACGCTACATCCATGCTGGCTAAATATACTGTCTATGCTTGCTAGCTGTCCATTCAAACGAAGTAAACTGGATATAAACTCCCCAAACAGGCGAAAACCTACCAGTTTCACCCACTGTCTCTGCCACCTCCCCCCATGCCTGGCTCCTCCGGTTTGTATCCCTGTATGTAAAGAGGGACTGGTCATCTAGTACCGGGTGATTCCCTAACGCCACGATAATTTCCTCCTCCATTTTTTGACACATGGGAAATAACTGCGGTCTGGCTCTCCCAACATACACACGGTTTGATTGGCTAGCGCTTGAACTGTCAGATTTGCATACGCGGGATTTGATTGGCTGACGCCTCCGTCGAGGCGGCAAAAGTAGAACATTGCTCTACTTTTGCAGCGAGAGAAGCTACGCTTTGCTCCCACAATGCAGTTCGGCGAATCGTGACGTCACCCCATTCAAAGTGAATGGGCAGAAGCGTTGAAGCGGCAACGCACGCCGCTGTGTGTAGGGGCCGTAACAGACAGAGAATCAGCACTTTGGAAACAGGGCTGAAACAGAGGGGATTATGGGTAATGCTGCAATGATCTGTTTGGTGTTTCAGCCAATCAGAGACAGGCTCTGTATATATCTGAGACCTGTAATATATTGATGAAGAAGAGGAGAATAGAGGACCTTTAAAACTACTCTAACAAGTGAAAGATGAGTTGATCACAGAGAAATTGGTTCACCGAGAAGTCTGAAAACGAAAAAAAGAGTAATCAGTAATCGGGACACCCAGCATACATTGAGACACACAGCATTTCTTCAGCTAGTCAGATGGTGTTTTATTCAAACAAGTCATATTTCCATAAGCTTTCCAGCCACTAACACTTGTGCAGAGATTGAGTTCAACAGCTGTCCCTGCAGCTTGAGCTCCTCTGGTCGAGTCACATGAGAGGGATTGTATTTATTTAGCTTTTCCTACTCGACGTTAATCACGAATATCTCCTTATTCCTCTCTGTGCTCGCAGGCTTGCCAACAAACAGGACCAGGAGGGAGCGCTGGCTGAAGCCGACATCATTGAGAACCTGTCGTTAGAGAAGCTTGTTAACGAGAACAAGTGTCTCTGTCAGATCGTAAGTGTTTGTGCACCTGTTGTGGAAACGCCACTTGAATTTCATCAAGGGCATTGAACTGCAGTTTCCCCCCAAACACACACAAAGGGCCAGTTCATTCTCCTTCTTTAGTACGTCTGCTTTTCACCCAAAGTGTCTCATAAAACTAAATCTTTTTCTGAGAGGTTTCCTAATATACATCCGTCCCCCAGGAGCCATGCTCGGCCGTTCTGGGTTACGGCAAAAAGGTCGACAAGTCCATCAAGAAGGGCCTGAAGTGGCTCCTCAACAACATTGCCAAAGACTACGAGGCCATTACTGAGCGCGTGCAGAAAGACACGGCGGAGCAGCGCGCTCAGGAGGAACAGGACAAGAAGGAGAGGGCGGAGAGGGTGAGGAGGATACGACAGGAGAGGTGAGGATCACGAAGGGGCCGTAAGAAAATCAAAAATCGATGAGATAACATTTCAGCAATAAAGCCCTCCAAAAAAATCAAGAAACGAGCTTTTGAAGTTTTAAATACGCAATCTTGTAAATACACTAAATACATTTTGGTTTACGATGCTTAAAAGTTTTTCCAAAGTTCTTCACTCTAACTTTTATAGTCTCTAAGAACCCTGGATATTGCATTTTGTTTCGATCGAGGGGAAAACTCCCCCTGACTGGTTATTAAATCTCAAAGCGTTGCATCATTGAGCTTCAAAGTGAACGTGGTGTTGTGTCCGTAGGGAGCGAGAAGAGGCAGAGCGCGAGGGAAGGCCCATCGAGGAAGAGGAGCTCGCCGAGGAAATCATCCCAAATCCCTTTCAGCCAATCCGCAACGTGATCTCTGTGGTGTGTGTGAGCACAAGTACACACATCCTTTACTCAAGTAGAAGTACAGATACTCGTTTTTAAAAATACTCTGGTAGAAGTAGAAGTACTGACTAAACTTCTTTCCTCAAGTGAAAGTAAAGAACTTTGAAATGTACTTCAGTAAAAAGTACCCATAACTAGCAGCTGCTTTAAAGAGTACCTGACCTCCCTTTATATTAATAGAACAATAATGTCATTGTTAGCTAATGAATGTTTCCATGCTGAACAACGGCAACATGACAACGTTTCCATTGGTCCCTCTTCTTTAGAGAAGACCAGGAAATGATGGATACACGGATCGTGTTCAAATCAATAGGCACGCAATGACTCTAAAGAATAATGATCACGCATCAAACACACATTCAGACTAAAGGAACCAGCTGTTTGGAAAATGAGAGAAGTAGAAAGTACAGGTATTTGTGTTCAACATGTAAGAAGTAGAAAGTACAGGTATTTGAGTTCAACATGTAAGAAGTAGAAAGTACAGGTATTTGAGTTCAACATGTAAGAAGTAGAAAGTACAGGTATTTGGGTTCAACATGTGAGAAGTAGAAAGTACAGGTATTTGGGTTCAACATGTGAGAAGTAGAAAGTACAAGTATTTGGGTTCAACATGTAAGAAGTAGAAAGTACAGGTATTTGAGTTCAACATGTAAGAAGTAGAAAGTACAGGTATTTGGGTTCAACATGTGAGAAGTAGAAAGTACAGGTATTTGTGTTCAAAATGTAAGAAGTAGAAAGTACAGGTATTTGAGTTCAACATGTGAGAAGTAGAAAGTACAGGTATTTGAGTTCAACATGTGAGAAGTAGAAAGTACAGGTATTTGTGTTCAACATGTAAGAAGTAGAAAGTACAAGTATTTGAGTTCAACATGTAAGAAGTAGAAAGTACAGGTATTTGGGTTCAACATGTAAGAAGTAGAAAGTACAGGTATTTGAGTTCAACATGTAAGAAGTAGAAAGTACAGGTATTTGTGTTCAAAATGTAAGAAGTAGAAAGTACAGGTATTAGTGTTCAAAATGTAAGAAGTAGAAAGTACAGGTATTTGAGTTCAACATGTGAGAAGTAGAAAGTACAGGTATTTGAGTTCAACATGTGAGAAGTAGAAAGTACAGGTATTTGTGTTCAACATGTAAGAAGTAGAAAGTACAAGTATTTGAGTTCAACATGTAAGAAGTAGAAAGTACAGGTATTTGGGTTCAACATGTAAGAAGTAGAAAGTACAGGTATTTGAGTTCAACATGTAAGAAGTAGAAATTACAGGTATTTGTGTTCAACATGTAAGAAGTAGAAAGTACAGGTATTTGAGTTCAACATGTAAGAAGTAGAAAGTACAGGTATTTGAGTTCAACATGGAAGAAGTAGAAAGTACAGGTATTTGGGTTCAACATGTGAGAAGTAGAAAGTACAGGTATTTGTGTTCAACATGTAAGAAGTAGAAAGTACAGGTATTTGAGTTCAACATGTAAGAAGTAGAAAGTACAGGTATTTGGGTTCAACATGTGAGAAGTAGAAAGTACAGGTATTTGAGTTCAACATGTAAGAAGTAGAAAGTACAGGTATTTGAGTTCAACATGTAAGAAGTAGAAAGTACAGGTATTTGGGTTCAACATGTAAGAAGTAGAAAGTACAGGTATTTGTGTTCAACATGTAAGAAGTAGAAAGTACAGGTATTTGAGTTCAACATGTAAGAAGTAGAAAGTACAGGTATTTGAGTTCAACATGTAAGAAGTAGAAAGTACAGGTATTTGGGTTCAACATGTAAGAAGTAGAAAGTACAGGTATTTGTGTTCAAAGTGTAAGAAGTAGAAAGTACAAGTATTTGAGTTCAACATGTGAGAAGTAGAAAGTACAGGTATTTGAGTTCAACATGTGAGAAGTAGAAAGTACAGGTATTTGAGTTCAACATGTAAGAAGTAGAAAGTACAGGTATTTGGGTTCAATATGTAAGAAGTAGAAAGTACAGGTATTTGGGTTCAACATGTAAGAAGTAGAAAGTACAGGTATTTGAGTTCAACATGTAAGAAGTAGAAAGTACAGGTATTTGGGTTCAACATGTAAGAAGTAGAAAGTACAGGTATTTGTGTTCAACATGTAAGAAGTAGAAAGTACAGGTATTTGAGTTCAACATGTAAGAAGTAGAAAGTACAGGTATTTGAGTTCAACATGTAAGAAGTAGAAAGTACAGGTATTTGGGTTCAACATGTAAGAAGTAGAAAGTACAGGTATTTGTGTTCAAAGTGTAAGAAGTAGAAAGTACAAGTATTTGAGTTCAACATGTGAGAAGTAGAAAGTACAGGTATTTGTGTTCAACATGTAAGAAGTAGAAAGTACAGGTATTTGAGTTCAACATGTGAGAAGTAGAAAGTACAGGTATTTGGGTTCAACATGTGAGAAGTAGAAAGTACAGGTATTTGAGTTCAACATGTAAGAAGTAGAAAGTACAGGTATTTGGGTTCAACATGTAAGAAGTAGAAAGTACAGGTATTTGTGTTCAACATGTAAGAAGTAGAAAGTACAGGTATTTGAGTTCAACATGTAAGAAGTAGAAAGTACAGGTATTTGGGTTCAACATAAGAAGTAGAAAGTACAGGTATTTGTGTTCAACATGTAAGAAGTAGAAAGTACAGGTATTTGTGTTCAACATGTAAGAAGTAGAAAGTACAGGTATTTGTGTTCAATATGTAAGAAGTAGAAAGTACAGGTATTTGGGTTCAACATGTAAGAAGTAGAAAGTACAGGTATTTGGGTTCAACATGTAAGAAGTAGAAAGTTCAGGTATTTGAGTTCAACATGTAAGAAGTAGAAAGTACAGGTATTTGGGTTCAACATGTGAGAAGTAGAAAGTTCAGGTATTTGAGTTCAACATGTGAGAAGTAGAAAGTACAGGTATTTGAGTTCAACATGTAAGAAGTAGAAAGTACAGGTATTTGGGTTCAACATGTGAGAAGTAGAAAGTACAGGTATTTGAGTTCAACATGTAAGAAGTAGAAAGTACAGGTATTTGTGTTCAACATGTAAGAAGTAGAAAGTACAGGTATTTGTGTTCAACATGTAAGAAGTAGAAAGTACAGGTATTTGAGTTCAACATGTGAGAAGTAGAAAGTACAGGTATTTGGGTTCAACATGTGAGAAGTAGAAAGTACAGGTATTTGTGTTCAACATGTAAGAAGTAGAAAGTACAGGTATTTGTGTTCAACATGTAAGAAGTAGAAAGTACAGGTATTTGTGTTCAACATGTAAGAAGTAGAAAGTACAGGTATTTGTGTTCAACATGTGAGAAGTAGAAAGTACAGGTATTTGAGTTCAACATGTAAGAAGTAGAAAGTACAGGTATTTGTGTTCAACATGTAAGAAGTAGAAAGTACAGGTATTTGTGTTCAACATGTAAGAAGTAGAAAGTACAGGTATTTGTGTTCAACATGTAAGAAGTAGAAAGTACAGGTATTTGTGTTCAACATGTAAGAAGTAGAAAGTACAGGTATTTGTGTTCAACATGTAAGAAGTAGAAAGTACAGGTATTTGTGTTCAACATGTAAGAAGTAGAAAGTACAGGTATTTGTGTTCAACATGTGAGAAGTAGAAAGTACAGGTATTTGAGTTCAACATGTAAGAAGTAGAAAGTACAGGTATTAGAGTTCAACATGTAAGAAGTAGAAAGTACAGGTATTAGAGTTCAACATGTAAGAAGTAGAAAGTACAGGTATTTGTGTTCAACATGTAAGAAGTAGAAAGTACAGGTATTTGAGTTCAACATGTAAGAAGTAGAAAGTACAGGTATTTGTGTTCAACATGTAAGAAGTAGAAAGTACAGGTATTTGAGTTCAACATGTAAGAAGTAGAAAGTACAGGTATTTGAGTTCAACATGTAAGAAGTAGAAAGTACAGGTATTTGTGTTCAACATGTAAGAAGTAGAAAGTACAGGTATTTGAGTTCAACATGTAAGAAGTAGAAAGTACAGGTATTTGAGTTCAACATGTAAGAAGTAGAAAGTACAGGTATTTGAGTTCAACATGTAAGAAGTAGAAAGTACAGGTATTTGTGTTCAACATGTAAGAAGTAGAAAGTACAGGTATTTGGGTTCAACATGTAAGAAGTAGAAAGTACAGGTATTTGTGTTCAACATGTAAGAAGTAGAAAGTACAGGTATTTGAGTTCAACATGTGAGAAGTAGAAAGTACAGGTATTTGAGTTCAACATGTAAGAAGTAGAAAGTACAGGTATTTGTGTTCAACATGTAAGAAGTAGAAAGTACAGGTATTTGAGTTTAACATGTAAGAAGTAGAAAGTACAGGTATTTGAGTTCAACATGCAAGAAGTAGAAAGTACAGGTATTTGAGTTTAACATGTAAGAAGTAGAAAGTACAGGTATTTGAGTTCAACATGCAAGAAGTAGAAAGTACAGGTATTTGTGTTCAACATGTAAGAAGTAGAAAGTACAGGTATTTGTGTTCAACATGTAAGAAGTCCAAGTAAAAAGTCGTCAGAAAAATAAGTAGTTGAGTAAAGTACTGATACCAGATACTTAAGTACAGTAACGAAGTATTTGTACTCCACTACTTCCCACCTCTGACTGATAAAGGGGGTTTTCTGAGTTTTTCCAAAAGACAGATATCGTGTGTCTCGCTTGAAGAAGAGAAAAAACGACTAGCTTTTTCTTGGTGTTTTTTAGTCTCCAGCTAAAACACCAAGAATCCAATACAGTTTTTAGGCTTTCTGGTAAAACAACTATCGCTGATAATGTGCCTTTGTGTCTCTTTTTAGAATGATGGCAAAGAGATGGAGAGGAGGGAGGTCCGGACCAACAGCCCGAAGAGAGATGCAGATCACGAGGAAGAGGAGGATGAGGATGAAAACGACGAAGAGCCGAACGACACGAGACAAACGCCGGAAAATCCCACAGCAGGTGATCCACTTTAAATGTTCCCGACTGACTCTCAATGATTTCAATCGCTTGGCAAATAGTTTCTAAAACGTGATTTGTGCCAAGAGTTTTATTTAGAAGTCAAAACGACAGATAATTCACAATCTCTGTCGATGTGAAAATAACGCTTTTTGAAGTCAGAAGTCTCGTAGATAAATAAAAAGCTTTGAAAACAAATCCAACAAATAAGCGGAGATTATTCAAAGTGAGATATGTTTTTATTAAATTAAGCAACTGTCTCATATTTATCCTCCTCTTCTTCAATGCGCTCAGATTACTGGTGTCTGAGAGATAAATATAATTACACATTAAGATGAGAAGGGATAACAAGATGGTCAAAAGTAAGTAGTCAAAGCTGAAGGGAAGGAGCCATCTTTTATTGAATTGATGTGAGACGATTTGAACATCTGGACTTTCTTTATCAACTCGTCGGTCTCATGCATTTTAATTCTCTCTGTCCTGTTTTTTTATTAAGTACAAGTCCTGTCTATGTTTGTCAGATTATCTCAGACACACAAAGCGTCTCACTCACACACACACACACACACACACACACACACACACACACACACACACACACACACACACACACACACACACACACACTGTGAGTCTGTGTCATCAAAGTAAAAACTGCTCTCCTCACATCAGCCTCAACAGGTGATCAAGAGAGGAAGAAGACGACGAGGAAGCTTCACCTGAAGAGGAAACACAGAGTCGACCCTCTGAGGACGGAGGAGGGTCCTGCAGAGAGTCCCCCCCCCCGACCAGGTCAGTCTTTAAAAGTATTTTAAACTCAAATACCTGTACTTTCTACTTCTTACATGTTGAACTCAAATACCTGTACTTTCTACTTCTTACATGTTGAACACAAATACCTGTACTTTCTACTTCTTACATGTTGAACTCAAATACCTGTACTTTCTACTTCTTACATGTTGAACTCAAATACCTGTACTTTCTACTTCTTACATGTTGAACTCAAATACCTGTACTTTCTACTTCTCACATGTTGAACACAAATACCTGTACTTTCTACTTCTTACATGTTGAACTCAAATACCTGTACTTTCTACTTCTTACATGTTGAACTCAAATACCTGTACTTTCTACTTCTTACATGTTGAACTCAAATACCTGTACTTTCTACTTCTTACATGTTGAACACAAATACCTGTACTTTCTACTTCTTACATGTTGAACTCAAATACCTGTACTTTCTACTTCTTACATGTTGAACTCAAATACCTGTACTTTCTACTTCTTACATGTTGAACACAAATACCTGTACTTTCTACTTCTCACATGTTGAACTCAAATACCTGTACTTTCTACTTCTCACATGTTGAACACAAATACCTGTACTTTCTACTTCTTACATGTTGAACTCAAATACCTGTACTTTCTACTTCTTACATGTTGAACTCAAATACCTGTACTTTCTACTTCTTACATGTTGAACTCAAATACCTGTACTTTCTACTTCTTACATGTTGAACACAAATACCTTATTATAGTATTTTTAAACACGAGTATCTGCACTTCTACTTGAGGAAAGGATGTGTGTACTTTTGCCCTCTCTGCTTATGTAGCTTCTAATTAAATCTCTCTAAAAATAACCTTTAATTTGAATATGTGCAGCAGCTTCACTTTAAAACATATCCCCCTCAGCTGGAGGCTCTTACTGTGAAGCAGCTTCAGAAAATGCAGTGTATTCGTCACCCTTTAGAAATGTGCAATTCCACAATATAGTATAGTATTTTAAAAGCATACATTTTTCTACACAGCTATGAACTAAGTGGAGAAATGTGCCATTATATTATCAGCTAGCTAGCGAGTGTCTGTGCAAACCTTTTACCTGATGATGAAATAGTGATATTGAATGGTATGTGAATTAATCTTCCTATCCAGCGTCTCTCTAGCTATAGATCGTAGTGTTGTGTATCCTCTAAAGCACGGGTGTCCTAACTACATTTTGAATCGGCCCTCACTCAGCAACGTATACAAAACGTCTGCTTGTCTTATATTGTACTTCTTAAATATATATCAACTATATTACACAGTATTCATGTGTTTATAATAAGCCAGATTTTCAAATAAATTCAATTAAAGTTGAAAACATGTTCGAACAAATCTAAGTAGATAAGAAAAAAGCCCAATGACACATTCACATAACAAGCTTGAAATAGACCCTTCATGTAATCAGCAATCTGAAGCTTCTGTTTGAGGAACGAGCTGCTCACTCAACCCTCTGGAGAGCTGTTTGAGGAACGAGCTGCTCACTCAACCCTCTGGAGAGCTGGGAGCTGGTTTCCTTACAGCATTTCCTTCTTTCAGTCTTTATTTCGAACAGATTAAAAAATAACAAATGTGATAAACAGAATACCGTATTGTTATAATACAGTATTTATCCACATTCATGGTAATATTTGTATTCAACAAAAAAAAGTCTTCATATTAATAATAATAATAAATCATATGTGTCCGAAAGGGAGCAGGAGGAAGCAAATGCTTATTCATTCCCACCCCTTACTTGATCAATGATTGTCCTTTAAATCATTATTCAAGTTATTCCTACATACATTTACATTTATACAAACATGTCTCATCTTCAATCACCTTCTTCATTCTCATAGTTTTCCCCAAAAGTGTTTCTGTGCATCCTTTTAAACTGAATGCTGCTTGTGCTTTGTTTGAACTCCTGCTCCAAACCATTCCATAAAGTCACCCCACAGATTGTTAAACTCATACTTCTCAGAGTTGTTCTGACCTTGAGTTTAAAATGTAGATTTCCTCTCAGATGATACCCCACCCTCTCTGTCTACGAACAATGTTTTTAATGTCCTAGGAAGTAGATTATGTCTGGCTCTGTACATGATTTTCCAAGTATCAAGAATAATTGACTTACATTGGATTGACTTTTCCAACTTATGACAGAACTTATGAGGCAATAGCCCTTTTTCTGTATGTGGCCCTCGTGAAAAAAGTTTGGACCCCCCTGCTCTAAAGTGACATCAAGTCTGAGATGGACCCGAACCTGAGCCTCACTTCTGACTTCCTTCCTTTTCGATGTGTCCTGCTCACTGTGTGTTCATTTTGTTTCTCCAGTGGGATGGGCAACTCCTAAAGCGTCTAGGCTGCCAAAACTAGAGCCCCTCGGAGACTCGAGACATTCTGGTAAAGGCGCCGGCGATGTCCGCTCGTTCTTCACCCCTCACCGTTAACCAACCATTACTTCCTCCTTTTTGCCAAATCCACTAACCCCGTCATAAAATAAAAGCACTCATCATCAGTTTGAGGAGTGTGTGGTGGTTGTGTACGAAGGAAACCATGACGATGTGTGTCGACTTTAAATAAGCATGTCTTTCTCTCTCATCTCACCAGGTGTGTGTGTGAGACTGTGTGTGTGTGTGAGAGACTGTGTGTGTGACACTGTCTGTGAGAGAGTGTGTGTGTGAGACTGTGTGAGAGACTGTGTGTGTGTGTGTTTGAGACTGTGTGTGAGAGAGAGAGAGAGAGAGTGTGTGTGTGTGTGAGACTGTGTGTGTGACACTGTCTGTGAGAGAGTGTGTGTGTGTGTGTGTGTGTGTGTGTATGTGTGTGTGTGTGAGAGACTGTGTGTGCGTGTGTTTGAGACTGTGTGTGAGAGAGAGAGTGTGTGTGTGTGTGTGTTTGAGACTGTGTGTGTGAGACTGTCTGTGAGAGAGTGTGTGTGTGTGTGTGTGTTTGAGACTGTCTGTGAGAGAGTGTGTGTGTGTGTTTGAGACTGTGTGTGAGACTGTCTGTGAGAGAGTGTGTGTGTGTGTGTTTGAGACTGTCTGTGAGAGAGTGTGTGTGTGTGTGTTTGAGACTGTCTGTGAGAGAGTGTGTGTGTGTGTGTTTGAGACTGTGTGTGTGTGTGTGTGTGTGTATGTGTGTGTTTGAGACTGTGTGAGAGAGAGTGTGTGTGTGTGTGTGTGAGTGTGTTTGAGACTGTCTGTGAGAGAGTGTGTGTGTGTGTTTGAGACTGTGTGTGTGTGGGTGTATGCGTGTGTTTGAGACTGTGTGTGAGAGAGAGAGAGTGTGTGTGTGTGTGTGTTTGAGACTGTCTGTGAGAGAGAGAGTGTGTGTTTGAGACTGTGTGTGAGAGAGAGAGTGTGTGTGTGTTTGAGTCGCTTTGTGTGTGTGTGTTTGAGACTGTGTGTGTGTGTGTGTGTGTGTGTTTGAGACTGTGAGAGAGAGTGTGTGTGTGTGTGCGTGTGTGTTTGAGACGCTTTGTGTGTGTGAGAGAGACTCTGTGTGTGTGAGACTGTCTGTGAGCGAGAGAGAGTGTGTGTGTGCGTGCCTGTGTGTTTGATTCGCTTTGTGTGTGTGTGTGTGTGTGTGTGTGTGTGTGTGTGTGTGTGTGTGTGTGTGTGTGTGGTGTGTGTGTGTGTGTGTGTGTGTGTGTGTGTGTGTGTGTGTGTGTGTGTGTGTGTGTGGATCCTGCATGTCGACAAAGACTTATTGTTTCTGTGTTTTCTCCACATCCCATCTCCTGCTTTCAGTGTTATAGCGAGATCTCTAATTGATTTCTCTTGCAGGCCTTTTCTCTGGATGTAGTCGTTTTCTAACTTAGTCAAATCCTTTTTCCCCTCCTCCCTCCTTACACAGAATTTCACAAGAAGCCTCTCCCTCCTCTCGCCAAGCGGCCGAACGGCGACTCTCACGACATCGTTTTTTAAACTTCCTGTTACCGATTGAGCTCGTCCAATCATGGCTCTCTCTCCCTCCTTTCTTTTTGTTTGCTTTCTGTCTCAAGCGAGCGCCGTGTAGACGCCAAACTCAGAGACTCCTGAGGCGCCGAAGACTACGAAACCCAGGAGCATCATGGGAAATAAAGTGCTGATGGGAAGCAGCTTACCCAGGAGCATCATGGGAAATGAAGTGCTGATGGGAAGCAGCTTCACAAACGGACGCGATTGAGTGACGGTGCTTTCTTTAGACTGACATTTTCTACTGTTATCAGTGTTAGACGGTACATGTGTCCCACAGAAAGGCTTTTAATTGACTCAGAATGTAAATATGTCCGCTCTAACCTTATATATGTTTATGTCTGTTTCTGAATAATGGATTTGTACACACACGCCGCCATTAAACAATGACCATATATTTGCACCTTCGGTTTTGTAGTGTAGACAAAAGGTGTTTTGATATCTCGGAGGTTAAGTGGCTTTTCACAGCTCAGTGCTTTAAATCTGATATTTTTTAACGGTGGGAACAGTTTCCCTTTTTACAAAACAAGCAGACATGTGTGTGTGATTCGCCGCACTTCGCTGTACATGGAGAAATAAATACACTACATTATTGTTGTTAAAAGGTCAATTTTAGAGATGAGTGTCCTGACATTTCACTTTTTGTCTCATAAGGGATTTGTATTTATTGTTTAAAATGTAAACATATATTTGTCTACAGGGCTACAGATTGTTTACTCTGTGTATCTGCTTTGAAAGTGATATTTCTCTCGAGGCAGACTCCTCCTCTGCTGCTGTTTTTGTTCCAGCTTTTCCCGCACCCATTTTCACTTTGATAAAAATCTGAAAATAGCTATAAAATCTCAATAAGCACAAATCAGGATGAAAGAACTTGGAAAGCCAACATTGCCCCAGTTTAGAGTTTGCAGGAAGGGAGGAGAACATTTCTTCGTCTGGAACCGCCAATACTGGGTCAGAAGAACACATGATGTGCAGAAGAGGGAAATATCACTTTAAAAACATTGAATCCTGTATTTCAGATCCACAGCACTCACTCTCTGTTCATGAGCTAGATGTTTGAAGAAATATTTTTTCTACGCAGTTTGGATTTTATAACCGCACAATAAAATATGTTTTTCCGTATTTTCTTCTCGACTGATTGTTTCTACGTCATGAGCAGCTGGATTGGAAGTGTTTGTTTTATGTTTGGTTCATCACACAGCACCTGCTGAGCGAACACCTGCGTGCTGATGGTTTATTCAGTATTTCTGCAGCTTGAAATCATAAAAATGATGATTATTGTTATGACTGAACACTGTCACTGTCAGAAAGGTGATCTCGCGGGGAAATAGAGATATTTGGGATGTTTTAAGGGGAAATTAAGCATTTATATTAAAAAGCAATCTTCCAGTCATAGTGTAGCAACCACACACAACAGATGATGCTGATTGGTTTGAATTTAAATCATATTTTTGCTATTAACCTTAAAATAATTTACTTTTATGGGACTTTTTGAAACCATATTACAAAATTATTCACAAAAGCGTAATAAAAAACAACATAACGTACTGTAAGATGAAAGCATTATAAAAAGCGTACAAATTAGGTAATATATTAAAATAATACAATTATAATTGGCTGTTGGACAAAGCAAGGAATTGCCGTCTTTTGATTAGTTTGGGGGGAAATGTCACGTTGCCTGATTAACGTTTTATGACAACAGCAAACCCAATGAACTCACAAACACACTCATTCCCAGTCCGGTCACAGAGTACAGTAATGATTTGTCACAAATACAAATGAAACAGCCCAGGGGTAAAGCATTTTTCAACGTGCTTGTAATAAAACAAGCAAAGCTGCTTAAATGAGCCTGGAGAAAATTAACACCTGTAACAAAATGATGGATTATGTGAAAATGTGTTTTTAGAAAGAAGCTGTGAGATTGAACCCGCTTGTTGACAAAGTCATTACACATCTTCAGAGTACAGAGACATATCTGCCAGGACTTTATTAGGACTAACATCAGGAAATGTATCTCCAGAGAGAGGTAGTAATGATTTTTTATAATTGTAAACAGTGCGTGACAGGTTTAGAAATGAGTTTCCTTTCCAAATAAAAATCCACCGCTCCTCATTTAGACATTCAAACATCTGCTCGCAGCTCCTACAGGCCATGTCACCGGCATCCAGGACATTGCAATAATGTGTCGTCTCATTACTGTGCTCCCTGTTGTCGATATACAGACAGGCTTCATTTAGGTGAGTGATGTCATGATGTGGAGCCCTGCAGGACATCGAGGAGCAGCAGATGCACCGCTGCCCTTAAGCAGATGCTTTCAAACCATCAATCCGCCGCTCATTATGCACACACTCCTCCGGATCAATCTGTTACGTCGAGTCCATTCCAGGAGCCATTCTGTGATGAAGTGTTGTAATTTACACTTTTCTACCGCGAACCCCAAGTCTGCATCTGTTTCAGTTACTCAGATAACCCAGAATGCCTTTCAGGAAAAGTCTGCAGAGAGGAAGAGAGGACGTTTTCATGTCAGGGAAAAGTCAGCGTCATTATGTGGCTTATACAATTGTTAAAAATGGCCCCAAGCATGAGGAAGCTGCAGGATTACAAGAAGATGTGGCATTGCATTTTAGTCTGAGGATTCTCTCAGTGGAGGAAATGGTCTCTTCAACAATGGATGTGTCCTTTTGCAAATGTAGGTGCAGAGGGAACATGTTCTGCTATCAAACCATATCATTGCTGTGTCCTTTTGTTTGATCCTGGTCAGATTTTGTCTGATTTTGATTGACGTTTTGATTGGCTAGTTGTAGAAAAGTTGCCTGATTGTATTGATTTTCATGCAGACCGATGAGAGAGTCTGATTAGAACAGTTATAAAGACTTTGGGACTTCCTGTGCGCCAGAGCATTGACGTACGTGATCACCTATTATCCTCTGATACTTCATAACTTCAGGTAAAACTTCTTGAACGTGCAATTATTCGTCTGATATTGATATTTTCTTATCAAGCTCCACATTTGTGGAATCAGCTTCCAGTTTGTGTTCGGGCGGCAGACACCCTATCCGTTTTTAAGAGTGCGCTTAAGACCTTCCTTTTTGATAAAGCTTATAGTTAGGGCTGATTAGATTCAGCCCCTAGTTTTGCTGATAGAGGCTTAGTTTGTCGGGGGACATCTTCCTTCTTCCTTCTCTCTGTCTGTACCTGTGTACTCTCATGTTCCGATTAACCCAGCTTCCCCACATGTCTTTCTTTTTGGTGTCTATATACGCCGGGATCCGGAGTCATGGATGATCCTGCGCTCCTGTGTCCTGGATCGCGAGCCCTGGATCTTGAGTCGTGGCTGTGGTCCTGGATCATAGGTCCTGGATGGATATCCTCGTGGATTCATCTTCCTATTATACACACATGCATTTCCAAACATTTGGTCTACCTATGTTTCAAAATGTATTATCTTTTCAATTTACACACGGCATCTATTGCACGTCTGTCCGTCCTGGGAGAGGGATCCCTCCTCTGTTGCTCTCCCTGAGGTTTCTCCCATGTTCCCTTTAAACTGTGGGTTTTCTCTGGAAGTTTTTCCTTGTACGATGTGAGGGTCTAAGGATAGAGGGTCTAAGGACAGAGGGTCTGAGGACAGAGGGTCTAAGGACAGAGGGTCTGAGGACAGAGGGTCTGAGGACAGAGGGTCTAAGGACAGAGGGTCTGAGGACAGAGGGTCTGAGGACAGAGGGTCTGAGGACAGAGGGTCTAAGGTCAGAGGGTCTAAGGACAGAGGGTCTAAGGACAGAGGGTCTGAGGACAGAGGGTCTGAGGACAGAGGGTCTAAGGACAGAGGGTCTGAGGACAGAGGGTCTAAGGACAGAGGGTCTGAGGACAGAGGGTCTGAGGACAGAGGGTCTAAGGACAGAGGGTCTGAGGACAGAGGGTCTGAGGACAGAGGGTCTAAGGACAGAGGGTCTAAGGACAGAGGGTCTAAGGACAGAGGGTCTAAGGACAGAGGGTCTGAGGACAGAGGGTCTGAGGACAGAGGGTCTAAGGTCAGAGGGTCTAAGGACAGAGAGTCTAAGGACAGAGAGTCTAAGGACAGAGGGTCTGAGGACAGAGGGTCTGAGGACAGAGGGTCTGAGGACAGAGGGTCTAAGGACAGAGGGTCTAAGGACAGAGGGTCTAAGGACAGAGGGTCTGAGGACAGAGGGTCTAAGGACAGAGGGTCTGAGGACAGAGGGTCTGAGGACAGAGGGTCTGAGGACAGAGGGTCTGAGGACAGAGGGTCTAAGGACAGAGGGTCTGAGGACAGAGGGTCTAAGGACAGAGGGTGTCGTATTGTCATACTGATATTCTGTACAAACTGTGAAGTCCACTGAGACAAAATGTAACATTTGTGATATTGGGCTTTAAATAAACATTGATTGATATTTAGAGTTAGCATTGGAAACCACTGAAAATCCTTTCCCATAACAAGGGGTCAAATAATACCCAGTAATAAAGCGATCCTGCTAACAAGCATTATTTGTGCAGCAAGAGCCACTTCGCCTGCTCTACTTTGTTTTCACATTTCACTGTGTGGCTCTACCTCATAAGTGCACAAACAAGTCCTGTTATGTATTCAGGAAGGCTAGTGAAAACATCAGGTGTGTGTGTGTGTGTGTGTGTGTGTGTGTGTGTGTGTGTGTGTGTGTGTGTGTGTGTGTGTGTGTGTGTGTGTGTGTGTGTGTGTGTACTGTATCTGCTCCCTATTACACCTTGAACGAGTCAAAGCAAAGCTCCCATATGTGAAGCAGCTTATAAGAGACGAGGCATGCACTGTCTCACTGAAGGACACACTGATGGACACAGATATCACATCTGTGGCCATGGGATCCACTCAGTGTGTGGATATTCATGTTTTTCAATGTGCAGTATTTCCTGATATTCAGCCTAGAAATTCCCCTAAACGTTTTGAAGCGACAGCAACACTGAGTACCACAGATCTGGACCCAAATATCTCCTTTGCATTTGTTTTAAAGCATTCACTGAGTTGTTTTAGATGCTCTTTCCATCATAAAGCATTCTGTGTAGCTGTAGCATAACCCCTCCCCTCCTCTCTTCCTGTACCGTTATAAAAGACAGTGAAGAAGACATTTGTTAGGACACATTACGCTGATAAGCCATCGCTTTACAACGCCTACTTTTCATCCTACAGCACGCAGCAATATCTGAAAGCACCTCGTGTGTGTGTGTGTGTGTGTGTGTGTGTGTGTGTGTGTGTGTGTGTGTGTGTGTGTGTGTGTGTGTGTGTGTGTGTGTGTGTGTGTGTGTGTGTGTGTGTGTGTGTGTGTGTGTGTGTTATCTAGAGCAATCATTAAATCTCCATTATGCCATTTAAAAAATGCCGTGATGAGCTCTGTGTCAACAGCACCCAACTTGTCATGATACCCCGAGGCTCAAATAAAGAGCTAATAATGAACAAGTGGCGTTCTGGGTGGTGGTGTGTGCATCTGTCTTTAAACTGAGGTAGAAAAGGTAATGGGTAATTGAGTGTGCTTGTGTGCTGGAGGGGGTTACGCAGCAGTAGACTGAGCCTACGGGGAGTGTACAGGGAATCACTGCAGACATGTGTTACTGCCTGCAGAGGGCAATGCAGCTCCAATAAAACCCCGTGGAGATGAATGGCACACAGAGTTGGGAACATTTGGATATTATTGACAACCCTGAGTCTTCTATTCATCTGTGCTGAGTTAATGGATGCTTCCAAGTCTGGCCTGTTGACAAAGAAGGCACAACATGTAGAGGTTAAATCTCCTTTCTTCAGCCACTCAGAAGCTGCAGGGTGGTTTTAAATAATGAGCACAACACCTTTAATGAAAGCCGTGTAATGTCTCATTATGTAACTAAAGAGGGAAAGGAGGAAGTCAAAGAAGCGTCGGAGCAGCTGCTAAATGTACATGTAATGTTGTTGCATACAGAGATGCTGCCAGCAGGGGGCATCATAAAGTATTACTAGTTGTATTGAGGTGAAGGGGCAGGATGTGCAGCATTTGTTGAGAAAGTAATCCTTCATGCAGAGGTCATGCCCTCAGATTCAAACAACCCTGTTTACTGTCACGCAGCACACAACAAGAAATAGTAGGAAAACATTGGAGTATTTC